GGGATATTGGTTGGGCTATAATTTTCTTGCTTAGTTATGTCTTTGGCTGGTTTTGGTATCAGAATTATGCTTGCTTCATAAAATTAATTAGGGAGTTTACCATATTTTTCTGTACTTTGAAATACATCGAGTAGAATTGGTATCAGCTCTTTTCTGAATGATTGGTAGATTTCACCACAAAGCCATTTGAACCTGGAGTTTTTTAGTTTTCAGTTTTTAATGACTTGATTCATTTATTCTCATGTTATAAGTTTATTCAAGTTTTCTGCTTCAGCCTAAGTTAATTGAGGTAGGTCTTGTTTTTCTAGAAATTTGTCCATCTCTTACAGATTTTCAAATTTGTTGGAGTACAGTTCTATGTAGTTTCCTATTCTTATCCTTTAAATTTCCATTGGTTCTGTCATATCATCATCAGTATAATTTCTTACTGGGTTTCTTGTTTGCATCTTTTGTTAGATTTTCCAGTGATAATGCCAATTTTATTAATCTCCCCTTCAAAGAACCAACTTCTTGTTTTGTTGATTCTCTTTTTTAAAAATTTTCTATTTCATTTATTTCTGCTCTTTTGTTATGTCTTTTCTTCTGGTTGTAGTAAGTTTATGTTGATGCTTTTTTTTTTTTTTTTTTGTAATTGTTGGAGATGTTTGGTTAAGGTGTTAATTTTGGATTTATTGCTATAAATAGCCCTTTAAACTCTGGTAGTGTAGTGGTTACGAATCAGGCTGCTAATCTCATGATCAGCAGTTCAAAACTACCAGCTGTTCCATGGGAGAAAGATCAGGCTTTCTGTTTCCGTAGAGATTTACAGCCTCAGAAACCCTGTACAGGGTTGCTGTAAGTCGGAACCGACTCTAAGGCACGTAACAACAACAATAATACTTGTAGAGTTGTTTATTCATTTCTATTAGAGTTTGATTTATATATTTTTTAAATGTTTTATTGTGAATTATGTGATAGTTTACATGGGAGAACATTAGTTTTACATTCATCCTACCCTGTATCATCTCATTGCCATGGTTATAATCCCCTCCATGTATCATCAGTCAACCAAAGGGTATACCCTGCAAGCCTGCCCCCCACACCTCCCCAGTCTTCAGCAAACAGCCCCTCTCCCTCGCAGTGTCTAAAGTCCCCAGCTGCTCCATCTCAGGCATCACTGCTTCTCTGGGTTAGGGTCCTGCTCTCTGCTCTTCTCCCTTGATGGTCCCAGGGACCTCCACTCCTAGACTAAAAAGTTAATTACTCCCCTCCTTGCTACAAAACGTCTACCTTTACATTTCCAACCCTCACAATCAGTCCTGATAACAATTATTCACTATTGTATCACAAGAGACCTGTCCGCATTTCCTTTCATCAGCCCCTCCTAGACAGATTGGATAACTACTCAGTGGAGAGTCTACCTTCCTCCATGCCCTCTGGATCTAGATTCCCTCTTGAAAGCTTGTGAGCCAGTCACTTCTTGCCTTTGTAGCCCCACTCCCCCCCACCCCCATTTTGGGTAGCCAATGTACAAGTTGCCCATCCCTGTCTACTCTGTATATGGAGGTGGGTGGGAATGATTCTTGCTGTAAGGATTTCTTCCTTTTTTTGAACTACTGCATCCATAGGTGTATGTCAAGTTCATCAAATTGTATCAGATTACTCTTTTTTTCCTCTTCTTCTAGTTGAGCTCTGACCATCTAGTCATTGAAGCCAGGTCAAGTGGGTATTATCTGCAAGTGTGGGTGTTTTTGTGCATATGCCCTCTCTTATCAGCTACATGTTTCACTCTCTACTCTAGTTCTCTGTGGCTATGTCACTGACTCTGGGCCCAAGAGTCCTCAGGTCTTACCATACTGCTGACCAAGCAGGTCTCCACCCAGGTTCACAGGAGACTATTGAACGTTGTAGGGCTTAGCTTGCAGCTTCATTGCTGTTTTTCCCCTCACTTCCCCTTATCTGTGACGAACGTGGTCACCAGTCAGAGCGTGTATTCCCATTGAGTCTTAGTCTTTTGGAAGGGGGTTTGTCTGAGGGGATCTGACCACTTGCCTGGATGTCTCCTGGGCAAGCAACTTGCTTGTTCTTGTAGTAACAGTTGGTCTGCCTATATTGTTTTGTATTTTTCCTGTACTGGTCTGCTCATCCTTTCAAGTGGAAATTTCCCACCTCTGAAGATTCTGGATATGGTTCAGGCTTCCACCTATAGTCTTATGTAATGCAGAGCCTCTGCAGAAAGCCTCCTTCACTGGGCATGTTATAGCTCCATTTTAAGTATTCCAATCAGTTAAAGGCAGAAGACGGGCTTACAAGCTTTCTGTGGTGATATTTCTGGCTATTCCTTTCTCTCCCCCTCCAGTGTCTATTTTATAATATAATGCAAGGAAAACCAAGATTCAAAAGATAGCCAAGCATCTTAACATTATTCCCCCTTTTTCCCCATTCCAACCATGTCTCAATCTCTGTATCCCAGAGCCCTGTTGTTCCAGGTTTGTACATACATCATTATTTACCTCTGTCCCACTTAGCCTGTGGAAACTTGCCTAATTGTTCTCCCATCTGCTTTGTTATTCCATTCCCCTCTCCCTTCTTGTATATTGCCCTGCTCCCCAGCACCCAAAGTATCCTATGTTTATTCCCTGCCCTGTGCTCCACCTTCTCCTCCCCTCCCCTTACCGCACTCCCTATATCCCAGTGATCAGTAAAGAATCCCCCCCCCCTTTAGTATGGATTCTTTTTCTTAGTCTTTTACAGTAGTGGTCCTATACAGTATTTCTCCTTTTGTGACTATTTTCACTCAACATAATGTCCTCAAGGTTCATCCATGTTATGTGGTGGCTTGCCGCTTCCTTGTTATTTTTCAAGGTAGCATAGTATTCCATTGTGTGTATGTACCACAGTTTGATTATCCATTCTTCAGTTGAAGGGCACTTTGGCTGGCGCCATCTTTTTGCTATTGTAAACAGTGCTGCTATGAACATTGGTGTGCATGTTGGAGGAGAATATTGAAAGTGCCATGGGCTGCTAAAAGAACGAATAGATCCATTTTGGAAGTGCAGCCAGAGTGTTCCTTGGAGGCCAAGATGGCCAAACTTCGTCTCTCATACTTTGGACATATTGTCAGGAGGGACCATTTACTGGAGAAGGATATCATGTTTGGTAAGGTGGAGGGTCAGAGAAAAAGAGGAAGACCCCCCAATGAGATGGATTGGCCAAGGGGCAGCATCGATGGACTCAAGCGTGGTAACAATTGTGAGGCTGGCCCAGGATCGAGCATTGTTTAATTCTACGGTGCATAAGATTGCTGAGTCGATACCGACTCAATCACATGGTACCAACTTGATGGCACCTAACAACAACAACAACAGTAGAACATTTAGAAATGTAGCTCACATTTATAAGGTAGTGCTGAAACAGAGTACAAAATGGTGGCTAGGATGACTTCTGTATATTCTTTGGCTTGTTCAGTATGATGAAACAAGACATAGACATATAGTGATTGGAGTAAAATTAATGAAAGAGCTTCAAAAGTTCATGGAGAGTGTGTATTATCTTTCAGTTCCATGAATGTTTGGAAGCCATTCCTTGTATAGATTGTTGTTGTCGTTAAGAGCCATTGAGCTCTAAGGAGCTCTGGTAGCATAGTGGATTACATATCAGTTGAAATCTATCAATTGCTCTACAGGAGAAATAGGAGGTTTTTGATCTCGTAATGATTTACAAACTTGGAAACCTTATACAAGGTTGCTGTGAGTTGGAACTTACTCCCCAGCACACTACCACCACCAAACAGTTGCTCCTAGACTATATACTGTTAAAATGTAAAAGTGCAGCCTGCTGCAGGTGCTTTGCTGAGGTGGAGAGCTGATGGAGCTGGGTTCCCAGGGGGAATGCTTAGTACTTAGGAACTAAAAGGGAGGGAAGGAAAATCCTCTAGCTGCCTTGGTTGGTTTTCTTACAGTGGGTTTATCTGAAAGGCATTGGGTCAGGTCCAGGCCATACTCTTCTTTCTCAGTAGATGGTGCTTGTGTGGCAGGCAGTACTGGTATGTTTTACCCGAGTGTGGCTTACTTCCAAATTCTGAATTGCGTGAACATCACCCAGTAGGTGGATTGATGGGCAGCAAGTGCGTATAAATATTCACTAGGTTTTACTGAGTAAACAGAGATGAGATAGGAAACAACTGCTAGTAACCTTGGCTTGACTTTCTAAACCAGTGGAGGGGCTTGGAGGAGATCTTGCACTTTTAAGAATTTAGAACACTCATTTAATCTCATCTGGGTACTGAGTTGGGAATTTCAGTTACTTTAAGAGTTTGTCTGACTCCTAATTAATATGTACATGATTTTTAGCTTTAATATTTAAAGATACCCTTACTTTTTTATTAGTTGCCTGTTCCTTAAAGTTTGAGTTGGATTGAGAATTCATTGGATCTTGGATCACAGTTCTGCCTTGATTTTATAGATTTATTACTCAGCATCGGAAGTTATACATGTAGTATTGTAAAAACTATGATTATTTGGTAAATTAGTGGTAATTCTGTAACAAATATGACTTTGTTTATTGGAGTTTAGCCTTGAAAGATGAAATATTTTCATTGTTCTTAGAGTTCATAGTCATAAAGCAAACATGAGTCATGAGTTTACACTTGAGCATAATCAGATAAATGAGGTGGTTAATAGAAACCAATAGACTGTAGAGTACCAAAACTAGGACTACAGCAAAATGTAACACTACAACTTACAAAAAGGATGTAGGTTATTTGGGGGGAATTGGTAGTTTTTTTGACTTAAAATGCAGGCACAGGTCAGTTGGTAGAATGGTGAGAAAATCAGATTTTAGAGTGTATTTCATATACAATTTAAGATTTTTAATCTTATTGTGACAGATACAAGGGGGCTTAAGAAAACATTGCCATTCCAACTGTTTATTGATTTACAATTCTGTGACATGCTGACTTTTATATACTTGAGGGTAACTCTTGGCTTATATCCTCTCTCTTTTTTTTTTTTTCCTTTTAGAATATGGTTTCTAGTTTTAGGGTTTCTGAACTACAGGTGTTACTAGGCTTTGCTGGACGGAATAAAAGTGGACGCAAGCATGACCTCCTGATGAAGGCATTGCACTTACTGAAGAGTGGCTGCAGCCCTGCGGTTCAGAATAAAATCAGAGAACTGTACAGACGCCGCTACCCGCAGACTCTTGAAGGACTTTCTGATTTATCCACAATAAAAACATCAGTTTTTAATTTGGATGGTAGCTCATCCCCTATAGAACCGGACTTGGCTGTGGCTGGAATCCGTTCACTGCCTTCCACTTCAGTTAGCCGTCACTCACCGTCCTCTCCTGTGGGTTCTGTGCTGCTTCAAGACACTAAGCCTACGTTTGAGATGCAGCAGCCATCTCCCCCAATCCCTCCTGTCCATCCTGATGTGCAGTTAAAAACCCTGCCCTTTTATGATGTCCTTGATGTTCTCATCAAGCCCACAAGTTTAGGTAAGTATTTGAAAAATGAGGTTTTTTTCCTGTCTAATAGAGTAAATAAAAGCAATAAATTATTGTGTTAATATTATAAAATTAGGCATTAATGCCAAATGTTTAAATATGCAGATTTTAAAAGATGTTGGGTAACCATGACTGAAGTCTAATACAAAACAGTTAATGCAGAATGTTCACGTTTTCCTCTAGATTAGAACTTAAATTGCATCTTTGTGAATGAGAGATGCTGTTGTGGCTATCTTTAGAAAATAGATTCTACATATAAAGGATTGTTGAAAAAGACAATTTGAATGAAATTGTATGTGCTTGACTCATATCCTTGAATCATGGTCTTTTTCATACAGTCTGCATAATTAGTTTTCTGACCTCAAATTGTGAACACTAAGGGGGGAAACAAATTTCTAAACCTGCATGCGGACCATCACACCCTGCCATTCTTTCTGTGGAGTCCTGGTGTGGCGTTGTAGGGTAAGCACTGAGTTGCTAACTGCCAGGTCTGTGTTTCCTTGTGCTCTGGTTGCTCACAGGATTTTATCAGTGTTTCAGCAGTTTTGAGTATGACGTGACTGGGCAGTTTTCTTTGTATTTATTCTGTTTGGAGTTTCGTGTGTAAATCCCTCTTCCCCGCAATTAGCTGTGCCTCAGAAACCCTATACAGGGTTGCTGTGAGTCAGAACTGACTCAGAGGCACTTAACAACAACAACAACATTGGACTTTTCCGGTATAAAATGTGTTTGTTTAGTGTACTATCCGTTTTTCTATTGATACTTTGTTCTCTAGTTATAGCCATATTTCTCTTAAATTCTTTGAACACATTTTTTTTAATTGCTTATAGTGCTTGCTATAAAGTCTGCTAAGGCCAACATCTGGGCTGTCTCAGGATTGTTTCCCATTGATTGCTTTTAATCTTTATTATGAATCATATTTTCTTCTTTGCACGTGTAGAAACGTTTTGTTGTACACAGTATACAGTGTATACAGTGTATACAGTACAGAAATTATGGATTTGATTATTTTCTTCTGAGTTGTCTGTATGGTCTCTTCCCTCAACTCCCCACATCCCCCCCTTCTTCCCCCCCCATTTGACAATTCAATTACCAACTCTTTCCTTGAACTTTTATAGACTTGGTTTTACACACTATTAGGGATGTCTGTAAGGAGCTCTGGTACCGTAGTGGTTACGAGCCAGGCTGCTAAGCTCAGTCAGCAGTTTGAAACCACCAGTCGTTCCACAGGAGAAAAATAAGGTTTTCTGCTCCTGTAAAGATTTACAGCCTCAGAAACCCTATACAAGGTCGCTATGAGTCGGAACCGACTCTACGGCACACCATCACAAGGATGTCTGTGGAAAGTTCAAAGTATTCTCAATCCTTTTAATGTCATGGGTCTCAGTTTTATTGGTGTTCTTATATGGGTTGACCTTTGGACTCTGACCTTTGTGGAAGCAGATCACCAGGTGATAAGCACGTGCCATGCTAGCTAACAACATGAGGTTTCCCTGTCTGACCAGGCTGGAACACCAATGTTTCCCAGCACTGCCCATCCTCTAATATTTCTACTTTGTTCTCAGCCGTAACAGCCATTCTTTGTTAGCCTTTGGGCAATCTCTCCAAGTACTTGTGCAAGCCAGCCCTCAGCCAGGGTCTTGGATGTGGACCTTCAGACTGATTTCTGTTGTGCTCTTCCCATAGCACACTCCCTTACCTGGTACCTTTACATACAGATTCCAGCCATTTCAACTGACCTGAACTCTTTTCTCTGGCTTCTCAGCTCTGTGGGAGTGCTATGCTGATGCATATGGAAATTGTTGCCAGGTGGAAAAGGGGTAATTCTGGAGCTCCCTTCATGTGTTGTTGTTGTTATGTGCCATGGAGTTGGTTCCGACTCATAGTGACCCTGTGCAGGGTTTCCGAGCCTGTAAATCTTTACAGGAGCAGAAAGCCTCATATTTCTCCTGCAGAACAGCTGGTAGTTTCAAACTGCTGACCCTGAGGTTAGCAGCCCAATTCGTAACCACTACGCTACCAGAGCTCCTTTTCCTGTTATGTGGTTTCTCTTTTTTCAGGAACCCCAGGCTTGGTGCTGCTTGTTTTGCCTCGTCACCGGGACGTCGTAGATTGTGTCTCGTATTATGGTAGTTGGAGATGAGATGGCAAGGTTGATCTCAATCAGAATACCTAACTGACTACCATTGAGTCGATTCTGACTCCTGTTGGTTCTGCACTGACCCCATGTGCTACAGTGTAGAGCTCTGACGCATAGGGTTTTCAAGGCTGTAACCTTTGGGTCAATAGCAGTTGCATAGTTTGAGGTGGATGTCAGCTCTTGCCCTTTCCCATTCGGATCAGTCATACTGCACATAGTACTTTGGCACTGACTTTGTCTTGCATTGAATATAGTGGGAAGGGACACCTGCACAGTAAAGAAAAGGTTTAGGAGTGAGTCGGACTTAGGGAATGCAGAGACTTACTATAGTAGTTACATTTTTGTGTTTATGTCATAGGGTTTTGTTTTTTAAGTTTTTATTGTGATTTGAGTGATAGTTTACGTGGGAGAACATCAGTTTTACACTCATCATTTAATTGCAATGATTACAATGCATCATCATTCAACTCCATGCATCCTCATTCAACAATATTTGCTTCTATTCCCTCTGTTGTTGTTGTTTTTTTGTGGGAGTGTGGGGAGGAGAGATATACACAAAAACACTCAGGAATATATAATAATTTAAACAAAGGGCACATTCTGCAAGCCTGCCTCCTGGCTGCCAGCACACAGGCTTTCTCTTTCCATGAGTCTAGAGTCCTCAGCTGCTGTATCTTTCCATGTCCTCATCTCTGCCTCCATCTTTGGTGTCGCTGCTTCTCTGATTAGGGTCCCACCTTTTGCTCATGCTCTTCTCCCTTGATGGTCCTAGGGGGTCCTCTTTTACTGAACTGTAGTATTAGTTGTTGTTGTTGTTAAATGCCATTGAGTCGATTCTGACCCATAGCGACCCTGTGTAGGGTTTTCAAGGAGCAGCTGGTGAGCTTGAACCACTGACCTTGTAGTTCAAGCGACTTTGCTGTCTGACGGCATTAGCCCACAGTGCCACACGAGGACTCCATATATTAAGTACTCCCCCATTTTGTTACAAAACTTCTACCTTTATTATTCTGACAGTTGCAGCTAGTCATATCATAGGGTTTTGTTTCATTATGGAGACTTTTCTCAGAAGTAGCATTTTTCTCTTCCCTCTTTTAAAAATTTTCTGGGACAGTTTAATTAACTTTGACATGGTTCCTAGAAGCATAATTGCTATAATTAACTGCCTATTCTTAAAGGCAAGAGTGTTTTACTCAGGGAGTTAATAATTTTTTGTTGTGATGTGACTTATGGGCTGAAGTCCTCTAACATCGGATACACAATTGGCATCTTAAAGCTTGCAGAGAAAGTGGGCAGGGATACCTGAGAGCTGTTCTGACACTTCTTGGGTGGTGGTACAGTACTTGTTGGAAGGTAGAAACCTTGAGGTTTCTCTATGAGCTTTCGTATATATATATATATATAGTACCATTTTTTTAAATGGGTACTAAAGAGCTCTGGGAGTCCTGGTGTGGCGCTATAGGCTAATGCGTCAGACTGCAGTCATTTGAACTGCAAGGTTGGTGGTTCAAGCCCATCAGCTGCTCCTTGGAAACCCTGTACAGGGTCACCATGGGTCAGAATCAACCCGATGGCACTTAACAACAACAAGGAGCTCTGGTAGCACAGTGGTTATGAATCAAGCTGCTAACCTCAAGGTTGTCAGTTCAAAACTACCAGATGTTCCACAGGAGAAAGATGAGGCTTTCTCCTCCCGTAAAGATTTACAGCCTCAGAAACCCTGCGCAGGGTCACTATGTTTTGGAACCGACTCTGCGGTACTCAACAACAGAACATCGTTAAGGCCCTGGTGTAGGTAAGTACTGTACCATTCAGACAGTTCAAACCCACTAACTGCTCTTGGAAACCCTATACAGGGTCACTATGAATTGGTACCAACTCAGTAACACATAACAGCAACAAAAGGCATCATTTAGTTAGAACTGTTCTGTTCTCTGTGAATTCAAATAGATTGCAGTTCTTAATAATGTCGATTAATTTTTTTAACCAGGCAGTCTTTATATACAAATAATTATTGTGTATGTCTTAATAAGGATTCCTGATGTGGCACTATAGGATGAGTACTGTCCTGTGAACCACAGGGTCAGCAGTTCAAACCCACCAGGTGTTCCTTGGAAACCCTATACAGAGTTGTTGTAAGTCCGAACCAACTCAATGATACTTAACAACAGCAACAATAAATCTAAAAACTTAAATGTTTTAAGGTTTCAGATTTTCTTTTATATGAACACTGTGTGTAATAGTTGTTGTTGTTATATACCGTGGAGTCGCTTCCCAGTCATAGGGACCCTATACACCAAACGAAACTCACTGCCATCAAATCGATTCTGACTCTTAGCAACTTTGTTTAGGATTTTTGAGACTAAATCTTCATAGAGGTAGACAGCCTCATCCTTTTTCCTCAGAGCAGCCGATTAGCTTGAACTCTCAGCCTTACAGTAAAAAGGCCAATGCTTACCACATGGTGCCACTAGGGATTTTTAATTGTATGTATATGTTGTTGTTGTTACGTACCATCGAGTCGATTCTGGTAGTGACACTGTATAGGATTCCCAAGGAGTGACTGGTGAGCTTGAACTGCCAACCTTGCGGCTCAAACCATCCTTGTAGTCCCGCACATTAATCTGTGGTGCCATATGAAACCACAAAATAGAAGAAACAACCAAAAAAAAATATCTGGTCTTTAGATAGAATATTCCTGGGGAGAATTTAGTTCTTTGAATTTTTCAGTAGGTGATACTTTATGTAGACAAGGACGAATGTGATTTGAAGGACTTTATTGTATTTTGATTATACTGTAAGTATAGTTTTATAATTAAGGATAATAAATACTCAAAATTAAAACACTTAGGAGTAATTTTGTTCTTATGATTATTCAGTAATCAAAGTTTTAGAATTTGGCTGTTTATCAGAAGTGCCTGGTCAATGCAAATACTTAACATTTGTGGATTTTTATCGAAATAATTACCTTTTCATTCCCCCCCCCCCAGTTCAAAGCAGTATTCAGCGATTTCAAGAGAAGTTTTTTATTTTTGCTCTGACACCTCAACAAGTTAGAGAGATATGCATTTCCAGGTAAGAGTAATGTTTGGAATATATTTCTCCATAAATGTGTACTATTGCTTCTTAAGTAAGGATTGTGTACTTTGACTAATGTTAGCTAAATATTTAATACATACTGTTTATTAGGGAAAGTGTTAACCTTTTAAATAAAACCTTAGGGTAGCTTTGGATTAAATTTTTGTCTCGTTTGGTAGTTTTTGGAATGAAAGTAGGGTTACTATAAACTTTATTGTCCATTTAGGGTATATTTGAGATTAAAAGTAGGAATTATTAATAGTTACACTGGATTGAGAGGCATAAACTGAGACTGTTGTGGGCAAAGTGGAGTTGTTTAGTCATCGCAAACAAAAAGTCAATAGAAATCTGAAAGCAATTCTGGAATGTATACCATTAGCCTTCTCATTTAGAAAAATATAAAAAAATTTTAAGTATGCACAGTTTTATAGAGCAATGAATTAAGAAATGTAAAGAAATCTTTAATGTATGCTTTCATAATTGAAAATATAGCCATCGTTGGTGTTAAATAATACATTGTTTATAGGACCCTTTGCACACTTGTATCATATAAACAATATATTATTAACACCAATGATGATTATGTCTTCAATTAATGACATATTGTTTATATGACACTTTAGGAATCCTCATGTGGCACTGGAAGATAAGCACTGGACAGCTGACTACGAGATCGGCAATTCAAATCCACCAACTGCTCCTTGGAAACACTATGTTGTTTGTCGTCGAGTTGTCTCCAAGTCATAACAACCCTGTGTAGGGTTTCCGAGGAGTGACTGGTGAATTTGAACCGCTGACCTTGTGGTCCAGTGCATTATTATCCCACAGCACCACACCAGGAAAACCCTATTGTTGTTAAGTGCCGTTGAGTTGGTTCCGATCCATAATAACCTTGTATAGGGTTTCCAAGGAGTGGTTGGTGAGCTTGAACCGCTGACCTTGTTGTTCAAACAACTTTGCACTCTAATGCATTAACTCACAGCGCTATACCAGGACTGTGGAAAATCCTATGAAGGATCACTATTAGTCAAAACTGACTTGAGGGCTCTAAACAACAACAGCCTGGCACTTTTAAGGTTGCTTTCTTACATAGTTCATCAGAAAGAAAACTGAGGCTCATTTAATGGGATTAAATGGTTTTCTGGGATTGTAGAATTAAAAGGAGAACAGAGTTGAGCAAATTAGAAGTTTTTTGCTTCTTTTTAATTGTTCATTAGAACATTTGTCTTACCGGAGACGTTGAGTTTTGTTTAAAAATAAAAACAAAAAGAAGGGTATTTTGGTTAAATAAGTTTGGAAAGTAGTCTGTATTGTATATTAATTTAATAATTTTCTCTTTTTTTTTTTTTTTTGAAACTTTCTATTGTGAATTGAGAGCAGTTTTACATCCAACAAGTCACATTCTTTGTTTCAATGATTGCAGTCCCCTCATGTAACAACAGTTACTCCACTTCCTCCTGTGGTTCCTGTTTCCTTCCACCCTCCTTCCCAACCCCTCTGGACTTTGTCCTTAAGTAAATGTTGCCCTTTTGAACTTGAATGCTTGATCATTCCATAGTGAGCATACCTCACTAGTATTGTTGTCCCTTGTCCTCTGCTTGGTTGAACATTGGGCCACGAAATTCAGTTTCAGTTTTGTTACAGACTTGATGATTTCATAATTGTCTTAATTTCCCAGAGTCTTTACCATGTTCAGGGACATTGTCAGTCTCAGAAGATGGTGGATCCAAGTGCATGAGCTGATCAGCTGTCTTAACACTGACTGACATTGTGAAGATGTATTGTCATGTGGATGGATCTGGGGACACAACTGTAGATTCTTTGTCTAATACTTCACTTTCATTAAAATGTATAGCACTCAACAAAAACTTAAAATAATACTGTCCTGTAAAGTTTTAGCTCCCCAAAATACTGCATAGATAGACTGCCTTGTTCATTCAGTGGTAAGACATTACACTGAAATATTCTAAATTGGAAGTACCTTTAATCTTGGAGATAATAAACCAACAACAAATAACTAGAATAGAGTAAATGAAAAATTATGTCTTATATCATTTTATTAACCTTTAATTTGTTTGTTATTCAGTGTTGATCCCTTGCTTGATACCAACATTTACTGTTTATTGGTGCAAAGCACTGTATTACGTGACATCCCTTCTACAAATTGCTTGCCATCTTTTTGGTGAGAGACGGATCATATTTATAAAATGATTATTGGATTGCAAGGTAATTAACCAGTTGAGTTCAGACAATAGCAGTTGCTGTGAGGAAGCTTCAAAAAGTTGGTGGGAAAGTAGAATGAAAAGATAATGGAATTTTTCCACGAGACTTTTTAAGCCCTCTCATCTATAGCAGGAGGAGTTCACTGTTAACCTTTGTGGTCTGAGAAAGTATCACTTGGGTGTTGGGTGACCTCGAAGGAAGGGGATTATTAAGATTAAGTAGATTTCATGACACAGACTCCACATTTTGAAGTGAACAAAACAAGGTACAGGATTGTGGTGAGTGGGCTGGCAGTTGCCTTTAAAATGCGGGAGGGGCTCGATCCCTAATTGTTCAAGTGCATGAAGTTTCTCTGGATGAATAAGATTAGCTTCCACTTGAGGAGAGACTAGATTGGCTGAATGTAGCATTGTCTTTTCACTTTAAATCCTTTTATGTATTTTTCTGAATCTTGAACTGTATGACTATATTAACTATTTAAAATATAAGTGACTAAAATTATTTTATATTAAATTTTTTAGTTTTGAAAGTAAAGCTGTTTGCCATTCTCCCTCCAGAAGGAAAGAAAGGAGAAAACACATGCACACACATACAAACCTGTTCAGAGGGTTTTAGTCACTTGATAAAAATCTCTTATCAGTGCTTTGAACTCCTGGTGCGGGACTGTAGGATCAGCACTGGATTACGAACCACACGGTCTACAGTTTAAACCTACCAGCTGCTCCTTGGAAACCCTATGCAGGGTCACTGTGAGTCAGAATCAACTCAGTGGCACTTAACAGCATCAGTATCAGTACTTCTCTGCTAGAAGTTAGGACATAGTAATTATCAACATTTTGTCATCTGTATCTGTATTGCATACCTTTTTGTTTCTGAAATATTTTAAAACAGATCACTGATACCCTATAATTTGACCCAGAATTAGTTTTGAGATTTCTTAATTTTAAAAAACATAATTATGCTAAAAAAATACTGTTCATATTAAAGGTTTCTCCATTGTGAGGGTTCACACAAGAGATTTTTGTCTCCAAGACTTTTTTTTTACTTTTAATTTTGATGTGATTTTAGGTTTATCTGTTAAATTAGTTGTAAAAGTAGTACATCTAGCTCTCCTCCGACACCTGTGTCCCTGAAACATTACGATGAAGGTCGGAGTCACTAGATTTGACCATATTGGGTGCCTGGTCACCAGGCCTGTTATTAACTCTGGCAGAATGGAGGTTGTTGCCATTAACGACGCCATCATGACCACAACACAGGGTCTACGTGTTTCTGTATGATTCCATCCATGGCAAGTTCAGTGATGCTGTCAAGGCTGAGGATGGGAAGCTTGTCATCAATGGGAAGCCCGTTTCTATCTTCCCGGACTGAGAGCCTGCCAACATTAAGTGGGGTGATGCTGGTGCTGGTGCACCGATGTCTCCACAATCTTGGAAAAGGCTGGAGCTCACTTGAAGGGTAGTTCCAAAATGGTAATCATCTTCGCCCTTTCTCCTGATGCCCCATGCTTGTGATGGGCATAAGCCATGAGAAGTATGACAACTCCCTCCAGATTGTCAGCAGTGCCTCCTGCATCACCTACCATTTCGCTTTCCTGGCCAGTGTCATCCATGACAACTTTGGCGTCATGGAGGGACTCATGACTCATTGCTGCCACCCAGAAGACTGTGGATGGCCCCTTTGGAAACTGGCGTGATAGCCATGAGGCTGCCCAGAACATCATCTACTGGTGCTGCCACGGCTGTGGGCTAGGTCATCCTTAAGCTGAATGGAAAACTCACCAGCATAGCCTTCCATCTCCCCACTCCCAGTGTGTCTGTTGTGGATCTGACTTGCCATCTGGAGAAAGCTGTCAAATATAATGACATTAAGGTGGTGAAGCAGGCATCAGGTGGACCCCTAAAAAGCATCCTGGGCTACAGAGAAGACAAGGTCGTCTCCTGTGACTTTAATATTGACACCCACTCTTCTACCTTTGATTCTAGGGCTGGCGTTGCCCTCAGTGATCACTTTGCCCAGCTCATTTCCTGGTATGACAATGAATTGGTTACAGCAACAGAATGGTGGACCTTAGGGTCCACATGGCCTCCAAGGAATAAGAGCCCACTGGACCACCAGCCTCAGCAACAGCACCAGAGGAGGAAAGGCCTTCAGCTGCTGAGGAATCCTTACCCCAAGTTGATTTTCCAACACACTGAGAAGCTCCCATCTTCAACAGTTTCCATTCAGACCCATTGGAGAAAGGGAGGGGCTTAGAAACGCCAGCCTTGTCATGTAACATCAATAAAGTACACTGTATAAATCCCCCCAAAAGGGCATCTATTCTTCACCCAATATCCTTTAATTTTAACATTCCGTATAACCATAGTAAGAATGATCAAAACAAAAAAATTTAACACTGGTATGATACTATATAGATTTTATTTGGATTTTATCAGTTTTTCTGCAAATGACCTTCAGTTTCACGATTCATTCTGGTATTTCCAGATGACATTGATTTGTTACGTCATATTAGTCTTTCTTCTGTGATAGTTTTTGACTTCTCCTTTTATTCTACCAAAGTGAGACTGTGGCACTTTAGAAGAATACTGGTCAGTTACTTGGTAGAGTGGTTCTCAATTATGGATTCTCAAATGTTTTCTTAGATTTGATTTGAGGTTATGCATTTTGGCAGGAATACCATAAATGTTATATATGTTTTTCGGTGTGTCGTTTCAGGGGCTTTATAATATTGACGTACCTTATTTTTGACAATATTAATCTTTATCACTTGG